TGAGTGTGTCACAAACCGCCCCTTAAAAAAGTATAATTTCTACGCCCCAACCCCTAATAATCTCACGCCCGTGTGCTTAGATGTAGGTCTATATGCGAAAAGCTGCACAGAAAGAGTGGAGAGGAAGAGTGGGAGAGGAAGAGTGGAAGTTTCTACTTGAGTTTTGTGGCAAGTGTGGAAGAGAGAGCCAGCCGGGGCCTTCAGAGTCCCTTTAGCTTTTTGCCCAGCACTTGATGATGTAGCTTCTTGTTTGTTTGTTTGTTTGTTTGGGGCCACTCTACACTGCTGTTTGCGGCTTGTTTGCAACATTGAAACCTGCCTGCATATTTAAAGATGTCAACCGCATCGTCCCGCCACAGCAGTCAACACAAAAGGTGGCAAGCAGCAGCAACAGCAACAGCAACAGCCATTAGCAAGCAACAACATCTTTGAGTTGCCCTCCACCGCCGACGCACGTGTGTTTATTATCCACTCCCTAGCCTCTAGAGGTTGGAGCAGTGTTCCCCCCGAGAGAGAGAGAGAGAGTCGAGGCATAGGAAGGTTTGGAGGGCTCTAGCAGACGCTATTAATTGTTTCTTGTGGCAGAAACACTCACAGCAGCAGATGCTGCACAGCTGCAGCTGCAACTGAAAGCTGAGAAAATGCGTCTGTCGCTTCGAAGAACTTTTGCGCTTCGTCTAATAACTGAAAATCGTGACTTTATGCCTGCACTTGAAAATGAAGACAAGAAAAATACAATACCAGAGCCATGGATATGGCTATCCATAGTGCTAGTAAAGCATCAACCCAGAGGAAAGTAGGGGGAAGTATTCATTGAGGGTTTACACGGCGACTCTTAAGAATGAACACGTTCACATTCCGCACCACGTTGCATATCGCATTACACACACACAGACACAAACATTTCTAATGTCTAAAGACATTGTGACATGGCTTTTAGCAATAAACAAAGCTCCGGTGATGATGTGTCTAAGACCAACGAAAACTCCCCAGAGCTGGAGATACTTTCCCCATGGCTCTAGATGTTTCTTCAAGCGGGGCACACTAATCGGAGAGCAGAGCGCAGGTTTTATGTTTAATTTCAATTTAAAGTTCAACATGAAAAGGCTTTTAAGAGGCTGGCAGCTGGTAGTGAAAAAGGTGCAGAAAAGCAAAAGAGTTGGAAAGGAAACTTTCCCACTTTTCTGTCTTTTAACTACAGATAGATTCGGCATTAGAAATAGCGCCAATTTGTAGCTCAATTGTATTCGCGTCATGCAGCAGTGACACTCGGTCAAAACACTCGGCTGCGTGTCGCTTCTACCTCTTAAATCTACTGAATTTGCCATTTAGTCAGGGATATGAAACACAAAACATGGACGCTGCCTTTGCCGTCTGAATAGCTCTTTAATTCTCAATTCTCCACTCCTTTGGGGCAGGGCATATCAATGGCATATAATTATGCTTATTACTAGCCATTCAACACCCACTCACAAGAACCTCAAGAAGGAACCACTATATAAAACACTCCCATAAGACTTGGAGTGGCTCCACTTGGACACAAAACTCTCATAAATTCTGAACAGAGATCCCAAAGACTGTGAATTGTTTCTTGCAGTTTCTCGGCTGTTGTTGATTTAACTTTACAGACGGCCCGAGGGGGGAAAAGCTGTTTTTTTTTTCTCGTATCTTCGAATGCGGGTTTTCGGGTGCTTCGGTAGCCAACCAAATTGCTGTGCCAATATTTATGAAAATTTTCGCTACCAGCCAAAGTGGGTTTCCCGCAAAAGCTTTTATTTTCTGCATTAGGTGCAAGTGAAAATGATTGTTTAATGGGTAGATATCTATGGATTGTTGTGTAAAAGATTACTTTGAACAACTGGGGGAAAGTTTCTCTCTTTCTCAGACACTGAAATGTTCAACTCAGCGACCAAAGGGCTTGCCGAAAGATTGCAAACTTCTAACCATAAAAGGTGGCAGGCTTGTAATAAAAGCGAAAGATGCCGCTGCATAAAAGGCAGAGCAACCTCTGGCAAATGACCAAAAATGGTCACAGATAAGGAGGATGAGGATGGAGCCAGTGCCAGTGCCACAGCCAGTTCCAGGCTGCCGTTCCCCCTTTGTGCAGGAGAAGGAATGAAGGGAAGTCTCTTTCTCTGTGCTTTTAGTAGCTGTTGCCATGACAAATTCAACTCAAGTGACACATTGTATGCCTCGTAAATGCACTGAGCGAAATCCAACAACAGCAGACCCGTGCAAACCTAATGGGCAGTCGCCAAAGGGCGGAGTAGAGGTAGGATAGGGCTTTTTTGTTGCCCACTGTTTTTTCATATGTTTATACAAATGCCATTGCCATAGAGTCTCCCCCGCCCTTTTCCCTCGTCCGTCACACGGAAATGTTTAGCGACAAAACTGCGTGGGACGTGGGACAAGAGATACGAGAGAGAGAGAGAGAGAGAGAGAGAGAGAGACCCAGACCCCAGCACACAGGTGAATGCCACCAAGAGGCAATGCCAGAATCCACAAATGCTGCAGCTACAACAAGTATGAGTGCGACTACGAGTGCGAGCATTATGAGCCCCATACACACGTACATGTCCGCGTATGTCCCTCTGAATGAGGAGTCGTCGTCGTCGTCTGCTGCAGCCAGCAAAAAGGTCAAAGACATTTGGCAGCTGTTGTGGCTGATGCTGCGTGCCACTGCCACTGCCATTGCCGCTGCTTCTGGTTTTCTGTGGTGCAACATCTGAGATTCTGTGAATCTCTGATTCTGTATGATGTGGAGCTCCTTCTCTGCTCCTCTGCTCCAGAGCTACACAAATCAAAAATGCGTACTAAAGACGTAAATTCAATTTGCGTGGAAACTAAATAAAGAGATTGTGGAGGCGCCCCAGCGCACATCTCTTTTGACATGTGACACCTGAAAGATGCAAAAAGGGAGATAGACACCACAGGAGATGTAACTATAGAGAGATGGGGAGAGCTGCAAGGGGAAGAGATACAACAGCAGAGATACAATATAATGATGCAAAATGCATTTCTGAACAGTAGTTACAAAGAGGACGATATGGCAAAGTGCGTGGGTTGCCAGAGTAGTAGGAAAGGAACAAGTGACGGAAATATTAATAAAAAAAAAATATGCCATGAAATTTTCCACTAATAATGCTCTGTGCTCAACAGCAGACACAAAGTCTTTGAGGAAGGTCTTTGTTAGGTTTTTGTCGGCTATTTAATTGTTATCTTAGTATATTTTGTATGATATTTATGCTTTGACTGTGATATGACTTTTTTGCTTTTTAAAACCATTGGGTCGTTAAGTTTTTTTCTCTTTGCATTTATAAACACATGTAGAATTTTTGTAGTTTTTTTGTACAATTATTTATAGAACTTATTCTATTATTAAAATTTTGAAGTCTTAAAGAACAGTCCTAAGAAACTCAAAAGTGTCTAAGGAATAGCTACCTACATAAAGCGACTTCAGATGCAAATCTGTCTCCCATCTCTTTCTCTTGATTCTACAACCGGTACTCTTCACTTGCATCTCGCTCACATGTGGCACTGGCACCTCTTCAAATCACAGATACACGTCTGAGCTACCTCTCAATATCTGTGTATCTTTTGACTTTCGCAGACAGACAACCATGCGATCCCTGCAGGAGTATTCATTTTTCCTTGCAACGAAATAAACTCGGCAGACAGCAGACGTCTTTCGCGCGGAACAATAAAATGCAAATAAAATAATATGAAAGTAATTTTGCAATTTTTTACCAAGTTTCTTGACGTTGTTTGTCTGTGCTGGGGAAAAGTCTTGCAAAGTGGAGTGGGTGGAAACGACTCTTAAAAGGTAAAGGATGGGCCATCCTCCATCCCACAGCAGGAGTCTGGCATGCGTATTTAATTTCCAGAAAGGAGCAAAGGACGACGCGTCTTAGCAACTTTATTTTGTCTGTCAGCTTTGTTGTTTTTCTTTTTTCTGTATACCCCCTGTTTTTTATTCATACAATACAATTGTTACCCGTTCTGCAGCCTCCACTGCACTCCACTTGACGGACTTATTAATGGCCGACAGCAGTGGCAGTGGCAGTGGCAACCATAAGACACATTTGTATCTTAGGGCTTTGTCTGGCCCCCCCGTTCAGAACTTTATGCGACTTATTAAAAGTTATTTCTCTTTTTTATTTCACTCTTAATTTGCCGTTTTTAATCAGCGTTATGACTAATTGCGCGAGAAAACTGAAAAGGAAAACGCTAAAGAAAGTTATTTAGTTAAAGGAAAATGAATAAAGAAACGAGTCGTTGGGATAATTATCTGTGGAATAATTGAGATTTAGTAATCTAAGAGAAAATTAGGTGCAGAAGTTGTTGCCAGTTTTCCTTCCATTTGGTAATTGTTTAATGACTTTTTGTTCTTCATCGAATTAAAAATGTAAATGAAAATACGCGTATAATATTCATTTAAATGCGCGCTTAAAGGCCAATCCACAGACAACATAAAGATGGAATTACCATTTGATTGTAGGACAATTACGAGCATGAGGCCCCTGCAGCCAATCAGCGAATCAACAATTGTCCCATGGAACCGCAACTACGCGGGCTATGGCAGACAGACAAAAGTATCTTTATATCTTGATATGCAAATTTATGGGCACACTACACTTCACTTCACCATTCAACATTTCGCATCATAAAAATATTTATAGCCGTAAAGTTTTTTATGGCACACAAAGGGGCTTGCCGGTTGCCGCTTGCCGCTTGCTTCATTAATTTATAAGCGTAAAATTATTTTAAAAAAAGTATCTTGCAGATACTTACATTCATACGTATTTTTATGGCCAAGAGCCATGCAAAAGAGACCCTCAGACAAGCTGTTAATGTTGACAGGACGCCCACACGTCGTGTCATAAAAACTCATAAAGAAATATATTTATAAAATCTGTAAAAAGTTAAACGCTACATTGTTGTTTTGTTCCTTATGCAGTTTGCTAATAATCTATGGCATCTTTTCTCTTGTGTTTTTGCAGACAAATAGCACCCGCCTATAAGGTCAATGGCGGCACTGCCATACCACTGCCAGCCACCGTTATGGTGCAACGTCGCTGTCCACCGGATAAAGTGCGTCCACTGCCACCGACACCAAATCATACGCCATGTAAGTATCAGCCATGCCCCTTACCACACCTACTGATGGGTTCATGCTTTGCATGGGAGCATGGGAAATTTATTAAAAAATCTTTTAAACCCTTAGCCACCCTTCAAGCGAAAGTCCTGCCCTGCAGGGGAGTCTCCTGTTGTTTACTGGGAATAAACAAATTTCAGGTCCGCAGAGTCAGAGCAAACAACCCCCAGGAAGGGAGATGGTACTGCACTTAGCTCTCTCCACACTCCACATAGCCTTAGCCCTTTCCGTGTGGAGTTCTGACCGAGAATTTGTGTCATTCCGAGGGCGTTTTTACTCGCTCCCCTGTAATCAAAGCTCTCTCTGGGGGATACTTTTGGGGTTTGGCATGCTCTATAGAAATCTCTCTGGAGATTTGTGGTTTAGGTAACTGCATTTTTCAATTAATTATGTAGATTTAGGGAGAGCGGTAGAGAGGCTATACAACTTATTCAACTTTATGACAATTGTTGTCACGTATATCCAACATTCTTGGAGAAGATTTCGAACTCAAATTTCCATAATTATTCATTGATTTCGTTGGTCAATGTTTCAGAAAAACGCACAGTTAATGTTCAAGCCTAAAACTAGTTTTCAGCTCAAGTTACGTTACCTTCTTCTGACCCATTTCTCGAAAGGAGTTTCCTCTTTCATTGTTAGTCATATTTTTAGAGCATTTCGAATGATTTATTTACCGAATATTTGGCTGCTTCTTGGCGCAGATATAAATCACGGGGCGCAGTGAGTGAGATAGAGAGAGTTTCCGTCTCCTCCCAATCTGTTATCAGCCTCACGCACGGCAATTAATTAAGTTTAATGTCCGCATTGGCCTTTAGCATTGATTTATATGTTTGACTCCAAGAGGAGCCGCTGGAGTCTCCATCTCCCTCCCACTCTGCCGTGTCCCTGACATTGACTACAAGTGGGCGCCATCCATCGTGTGGGCTATGGTGTGCTGTGGTGTGGTGCTGTGTGTGGGTTAAACACAGTTCTTTAGAACAAGTTTCTTGATCCTTTTTTTATGTTTTTTTTCTCTGCTTACAGCCATACCGGGACTGGGCAAGAGCGGAAGTGATTTCAATACGAGCCGTCCAAATAGTCCGCCCACCAGCAATCATACAATCCAAAGCCTCAAGAGTGGCAATAACAACAGGTAAGTCACGAATAGCAACCAGGAGTTCCATTATTAATCTATGGAGAGGGTACAATTTGATCAATCTAATGGATTTAAGCAATAGCTGCAATTCTTTTCATTATTATGTAACCTCTTGTTGATTTGCTAATCGATAGAATGCGAGATTTTTATTCGATGTTTTAATCGCTAGTCGTTTATCCACTTATGTATTGTTTACTAAGTTGAGAGTTGTTGAGAGTTGAAAGATATCTTTTCCGTAACGAACGATCTTTGTTTTGATTTTTCGACAATTATTTGATATAGGACACGATAAAGGGCATTGATAATTATCAATGCTTATCGATAACATTCAATAACAAAATCGATACATTTCCATAGACTTTTACATCTTAAATTCCTCTTATTAAACACAGCTCTTCTCCTTCTCTGCGCAGCCTACGTCCACCGAGTGTCAAGAGCAACCACCAGAGCGGAATACCCTCACCGAGCAGCCCCCAGACGACGAGCCACACAACGACAACAACGACGGCGGCAGCAGCAGCTGCACCGCAGAAGCACTCGATGCTGGACAAGCTGAAGCTCTTCAACAAGGAGAAGCAGCAGAATGCAGTGAATGCAGCGAGTGCGGCAGCCAACAAATCGCAGATCCAGCAGCAACAATCGAAGCGCACATCCTCCTCGTCGGGGTTTAGTTCGGCGCGTTCCGAGCGCTCCGACTCTAGTTTGAGTCTCAACGATGGCCACAACTCGTCCCAACTGAAGCCCCCGAGCATCAGTGTGACGTCGCAGAAGCCCCAACAGAAGCACAACACGAAGCAATCGAAGCTGCTGGCGGCACAGCAGAAGAAGGAGCAAACGAAGTCCAAGCTGGACAAGAAGGAGAAGAGTCCGGCCCGTTCGCTGCACAAGGAAGAATCCGGGAATGAGTCCCGCAGCTCCACGATGGGCAGAGCGGGCAAAAGTTCACTGGCCAGAGGAGGCCTCGGACTGGGACTCGCGGTGGAGAAGAATACACTGAAGACAGCGTCCAAGTCCTCGCTGCACTCCAAGTCGGAGTCGAAGAGCTCGTTGAAGGGTGCCGGAGTCCAGCAGCAGCAGCTGCTGCACAGTCCGAGTGGCACGGGTCTGCCCAAACCCATTGCGGCGATCAAGGGCACCAGCAAGCTGCCAGCCCCATTGGGTGGGGAGCAACTGAAGCGGGAAACCAGCGACATATCAGCGGCCAATCAGGCAACACAGACAACACAAAACATATCCATGGCCGGGCAGGAGCAGCCACAGAGCAGCACATCGACACCACATATCCTAAAGGCTGCAGCGCCACCGCCGTACTATGCGAATAGCAGCAGCAGTCCACCCACACACATATCACAGGGACATCCGGGAATGGGAGGATACCTCAGTGAGCCCAGCACACCACAGCAAGGCATCTACGGAAGCAGCACTGGGAGTCGTCTGCCACCTCCCAAGACAGCGCTGGGGGCACCACGCAAGTTGGAGTACAATGCCGGACCCCACATCCTGTCATCGCCTCCGCATCGCGGGGCAGGGCTGCAGCGGCCGATGCCCAACTCGGCACCGAATACACCCACTGCATCGCCGCACAAGTTCCACACGATTCCCTCGAAGATTGTGGGCACCATTTATGAGTCGAAGGAGGAGCAGCAGCCCCAACAGTCGGGCGGCTGTTCCGCCGGAGCCTCAGTGCTGCCAATGAGGCCCCTTCTTAGGGGTTACAACTCCCATGTCACGCTGCCTACACGCGGAGCTCGCGGTGGCCACCATCACCCGCATCAGTCGTACTTGGATTTCTGTGAATCGGATCTGGGGCAGGGCTACTGCAGCGATGGCGATGCCCTGAGGATTGGCAGCTCGCCGGCCACCAGTCGCTATCATGACATTGACAATGGCTATCTATCGGAGGGCAGCAGTGGCCTGAATGGCCACTCCACCATCGGCGGATCAACTGGCGGAGGTGCCGTGTCCCATGGCAAACACTTTCTCAGCATGATGAGGGCGAGAACGCAGCTGCCAACGACCATTGAGGAAAGGTGAGTACCAAGAGTACCTTGGTTCGCATTTGGATTGCATTAGGGAAAGATTTCGCTGCATGAAGAACAGAGCTGATAGCTCCTCATTTCCCAATGAGTTCGGCGTATGAATCCAGAGGTAATACCTTGGTTCCTTCGATCAAAACGCTTCTATGACTCATGTGACAGGCATTTTTTTTTGCTGCCTCTTCAGCTTTAGCCACCAGTGGTAAGTGGAAGAGCGGCAGAGTCGCGACACCAATGAGTAATCCAACCAGTAATTGCCGTTGTATCGCTTCGAATTTGCTTCCAAGAAGCAGAGCTTCTCGCTCCACCATGTGGCGCGTTCTCTTGTGGCCATAAAAACTCGAATTGCGGCTTGCCGGCTTGCCGGCTTTTGACTTTGACTTTAGGCCTGAGTGCACTTTGAATGGCTTTTGTGTGTCATTTGTTTCAGCATTTTGTTGCTGCTTTCTTTTGAGTGTGTGGCACGCACCATTTGGGCACACTTTTGATGTCAGGGGCACAGCTGTACACATAACTGCCTGTCAGAGCGAGAGAGAGAGCAAGAGAGAGAGGACTGGCCTCCTATCATCATGTGATTTTGAAGCAGAGTTAATTGGAGGCACTTGTGGCACCTTAACAACTTCCTGACGGATGCGGGACTCTCTCTACAGAGTGTGGAAATGTCTTCTAGCATTCGCCACTTGAGGGGGATAACAATACTCAAATCCAGTGATCAAATTGCCAATTTGCATAAAGTCCACTCGATGTTTGACTGTCATGTTTCCGGGTTCTGGGATTTCGTATACCGTGTCCCGTGCTTCCTCTGGCCTCTTGCCCATTGTTGTGTGGACTCCCCAGGCCTCTTGCTGTGTGTGTGTGTGTGTGTGTGCCATGTCAAATGTCATTTACAAATTTGTCAACAGCAGACGCTACTTGACTCTCGGCTCTCGACTCACGACTCTCGACTCTCGACACTTGGCAATTGACAATGCATGCCCCCATCGTCACCTGTCGAACGCGGTCCACTGATTCTCACACTTCTCAGTCACCAGATACGAGTGCCTCGTGGATATCCCATGGATACGCACCAACTACAGCACTTGACAGCCAATAGAAGAGTTTGGGAATTTCCTCTGTGTTAACAAGAGTAGTTTATGGGTTTCTGATTTGGAGGCAAATGGCATTGGCGGTGACAAAGTGAAAGACAATTATGTTGTCTAGAAAGACTTTTAAAAATATGGATAGGATTGGAAAAAAATATGGGAAAATATTTATGACTCTATTAGCCATGGATAAAGGCTTTTAATATTTAATTTATGCATTCATTCATTCACTTAACTCATTCTTATGTTCTAACAAATTCTATAAGAACTTTATTTAGTGATTAAACATAACAAAACGCACACAGATGATGTGCAACTGCCTCTGCCTCTGCCTCACACTTGTTTTACAGCAGCTGTCGCTGCATAAAAAACACATCATCCACTTCATAAGGCACTTGTCAGAACTGGAGCTTTGCCCCATAGCCACAGACAAGCCCCAACTCCCCGTTCCACAACTCAACGCATTTCATTAAAAAGCGCTTATGGATGGACAAGAGATGTCGCGGGAGGGGTAAAATGAAATAAGCAAGGACTGTGAGAGTTTTCATTAGGTTTTGCGGTTCTTCCGACTGCGTGCCGCGCCGTTTGATCTATGAAATTAATGCAATGCCATGGACCATGGGCCATGGGCCATGGCAGACCGCTTGCCTGATGATGATCCCTCTATAAATAGGAACAGCTGTCGCGGCTGTCAGCAAAGCGCTTCTTTGGAAAGGGAGTGAAAGAGCGGTAGAAAGTGGACCCAAGTGGCCACAGAGATACCCTCCACCTCCTACTCCTCATTCTCAGAAAGATTCTGACCCTGTGATGACTTTTGAGCCCTTGGTCACGTACTGCAGTTGATGGAAAAAGAAAAAAATGTTTTGTAATTGAATTTTAATGCACGCCGCCGCAACCTGTCGCATTAGTGTCACCTCTCTCTCTCTCTCTCTCTCTCTCTCTCTCTGGGGGCAGGGCTAATCAGTTGCGGTGCAGACACCTGCAGGACATAATTTGTGGAAGCCCAACAAGTGCGAAAAGGAGTAAGGGAAAACCGGGGGGGTCCAGAAGCGAGCTTATGACGCCTCGACATGACTAGCCCGACGTGGCCGAAGGCAGTCGCCAGTTTTCAGTTGTCTAGCCATGAAAGTAAATCAAAATGCAGCCAGGACACTCGCACAAGTGGAAAGTACACCCAAAGGAAGCAGACAGAACAGCCAGCTGGGAGGTGCATGCCAAGCAGACACACAAGGTGGAGAGGGGGGGGGGACTTCCGACTGGACGCCGCACACATATGCCGGTGCGGCTGGTTGCACAACTGACTGCCTTGCCTCCTCCACTACTACCATTTTATTTAATAACGCATTTTTTCAATTCATTTGATTTATGGCTGAGGCGTGTGCTGCAGCCATTTTCACACACAGTTTTCCACAGGAAAAACGTTTTCTCCCTGCCGTGGACTCCCGCTTAAAGCTGCCCGCCACATTTGCCGCAAATTGAAAATACATTTTCGCCACTCAACTCGCACTCTTTCGCATACGAAACATACGAAAATTGTTTTTATTAATTCAATTCGATATTCAGTGAACCAAATGCCTGGAGCGAGGTCTAAATATGTACAACCTTTCCACCTGTTTTTCCCCCACTCCCCATTGACCCTCTGACCCTGGCCTGCTATCCACTGGAGTGTTCAATGGCAACCGGACGCCTCATTTTTATCATACTCATATTTTTTTTTTGGGTACGCCGCCAAGTGGAGTGCCTTTCAGGCGTTAAATGAACTGGAAATTTCGCTCACGCTCTCTCTCTTTTTCGGAATATGATGAAACATCTTTTTTTATTGACTTGGGGCAGGAGGCTTTCAATTTGGTAGTGTTCATATTAAGTGTATACTAATTTGGTAAGGCATAAATGGGGTTTGGCTTTTAGTTTGTAAAGTTTTCAATGGTGTTTCAGATCCTACAGAGCATTGCTATAGTTCTGTACTTCCAATAAGTATACTCCAAGTAAATTGTATTCGATTTATCAAATAATTACAGTACTATCCTAATTTTTTTTTTTTGTATTTGACCAAAAATGAGTGCAGAAAGTGACATAATTACAGCTGGGGTGGTTGTCTAAAGATCAAGGATGGGCGTTTAACATTAGCGTTAACTTAACATTATCTTTAAAATTACTTTAACATTAGCTGTGACAACAGAATTTGTAGTTCGCGGCACTCCCGCATACCCATGAGGGCGCCATGTAGATTCCATGTAAATAAAATGTTAGAGCTCATGAGATCTAGATGGCGCTATTTGCTTACCAGTCTGTGGCGCCACCATATTTAGGGGATTTTTGGAAGTTTTACCCTAAGTAACAAATTTTTGGCCTGGTCGAGCTTGGCGAGGGTGGTCGGGGAGCCCCAGGAGGTGTTTCAGACGCCGATCCTTAAGGACTGTTCTCAATGTGATCTTGGAGCAGCCGCCCCAGGGCTCAATGTCTACTTTCAACAGACACTCGGAGTCCCAGTCGCATTCCCTGGGAGACCCAGTCATAACACAATTCGGCAGTTATCAAAGCAGTGCATACTGGTTGTTGGTTGGTGCTTGGCATTTAGTGCTTTCGAGGTTGCACTCTTCCGTATCACAGAAACAAAGCATCAACGCGATTATTTCACAATTTTTCCAATCAAATTCGCACAGAATTTCTATTGCATTGCTGGCCCTAGCTGCTAAACAATTAAAAGCAACTCAAAGCAAAGCGTGTGGCAAAAGCAAACGTAAGCCTTTAAGCCATAACTGACCTTTCCACATGCTACAAAAAATACACAACAACACACACACACAGAGACATAACACACACACATACATATGTTGAACAGATACATTCGTATATGGAGGGGATTGAATATGCCCGAAAGCGTCTCTGTGGCTCTCTGTGTGTCTGTCTGTTGCTCGGCTTAGTCGTTGGCTTAATCGTTTTCCAATAACTTTGGCCAAGCTGGCTGCTGCTGCCACATTCTTGTACTTTTCGCAATAATTATTAACGTGTGCGGCGTTAAGTATAGTTTTTGGTTGGGGATTTTCATTGGGCTACAGTGAGAGAAAAATGGAAAAAGAAGAAGGAAGGATTTAAAAAATTGTGTTTTTGTTTAAAGGTTTTCGCTACTGCTGTGCTTTTGTGAATATTTTAGACGGAAACACTTATAAATGAATAATAATAATATGTTTGTTCCTCAGGGAATTCAGTGAACATCAAACCTCTAGGAATAGAGGTCTAGTTTTTTATGGGTAAAAGACAAAACTTTAAAGTTTTTAGTATTCCCAATGTTTTTCACTTTTCCACTCTCATCTACTTTAGTTACATTAAAGTTTACCACCCTTTGATAATGCCAATTCCTCTCTGTATAAATAAATCATACACATCATGAAGGGCATTCCCAGAATATTTTATAACCCTTTTCCCACCTCGTTTTTTTGCTTCAAGTACAAAAGAACTTCCTCGTTCTTTGTTCTTTAAAATGCTCTACAAAAAGTTTATTCAACTTTATAAATTACAATTATACAATTTTCCCATTTATAAATCTTTTTGAAATTTATTTCCTCGACCAACATCTGGTTTATGCCTGCTCCTAATTACAATATTTGCAAGTGCCACGCGATGATTTAATGATTGATTAGGGAGCCTTCTTCCATGCCCACTCGATGATTAATGATTATGGAATGTATAAATTGTGCAAAAAGTGATGAAAATAAAGCTCTTCAGTGGTTATGGATAACCGCACTGCCAATTACTCGCAGTTGGACTTTTTCTTTTTCTCAACAAGTTTTTCCAGCAGCGCAGCGCAGCGCAGCCAATCAACAACGAACCAAGTTTTCGCTTTTCATTCACTTGCACCTCTATTTTGTACTCTTTTAGTTGTATTTCTATTTGGACAAGAACCAGCCCGCC